CAACATTGTGGACCACTGAATTCGCACGCGTAATTTTTTTGTTTAAATTAGATCAGCTGACAAATTTATATTCTGGCATGGACAGTCAGTTGGTGCTGGCACATCAACGGACTAGGTGTTAGTTCACTGGTATCCACATGAGACAGTTAATGGTGTTTTGTGTGATTTCTATTAGCACAGAAACGTACTGATCATGGGGCAGACAAATAGGACCTCGTATGTGCTTGAAGCTAATGAGATTTAGCTTACAGATAAATGGAAACTCTTACCAGAGTATTCGAACCGAACGAATGCTGACAGTTAGATAGGGTACTCTTCCCAAGTAATTTTAATCCAATGTGCCCGGATGATAAGTTTGTAGCTTTGTTTCTGTAGTTATCTGTAGTTAATAGTACGGTTCCTGTAGTTATTTACAAGTGTTTTAATCTGAGTGTTTTGTCTAACGCAATTGAGTGTAGTGATTAGATTTGTAATGACTAAATCTGACAAGAATGTTATGCGTCTTGACGATTAGGCGACGATGGAGAAGCTGCGTGAGTGAAATAAGACACCGGAACCTCACGTCAAGACCTTTCCTTGTTTACTTTATGGTCATCATCATCACTGTGTGCCAGCGGAGTGCGACATTCCAGACTAAACAAAAGCAAAGTGTTATTTTGACTTTGATTGGGGTTTAGGCCTGTTTTGTTTCACTTTCATACGCGTTCCAGTCTGTCGTTATCGTTTACTGACTCCGTTCATTGTCTGTCACCATCTCCTATCCTGTCTTTTTGTTCATACTTTTGTGGAGGTCGGTAGGGCTAGGTGTGTGTTATCCAATTATGGTTAAATTAGAGAGAAAACATACATCTAAGTTCAGCTGTATATATATATATTCTGATAAAATCATGAACGAGTTAACGAACATTATGGATAAAGGTCACATACGCTCCATGATTACTTGACTGTAAAACAGGCTGGATTTAACAGGTATTTACCAGCTCCTATAACGCCCCCCCCCCCCCCCCCCCAGCAAATAAAGTGTGTAAAAACGTTGATGGCAACCAGAAACCCATGTTGTCGAAAATAATATCTGAACGCCTCTAAGATTGGAATGTACAGTTGCTTGCGATACTATTAGCATACCGTGAAGTACCCTAAATAATACTGGCTTATCTCCCTTTGAGTTCGTTAATGGTGGGAACGTCAGGAGACCTTTGTCAATGTATAACGAACTACTTGGGCCAAGGTCACCAACATGAAGACATTGTCTGAATATGACATAGTCACTAATTTAAGGGGCACGATTATTAATATATGTATAATAGGAAAAATTCCTTAGACTAAGAGGGTACTCAGTAGCGCAAATGTGCGAACAGAAATGCGAGAACTTTCTCACTTGCGGAAAATGAAAAAGTGTTACGCCTTCTTTCCACGCCAAATGACAGAGGAAGTGCATCGTGGCAAAGTTCATTTCCAGTTTTGACAAGGATTTCAGAAGTTGATTATCAAAACTTGTATAAGGAAAACTTAAAATTTATCGCATTATTATGCTGAAACTCGATAAACAGCAAAACAACAAAATCTCCCACTTCCGAAGCACATATTGCTTGCAGTCCCATTACTGAACCTGACGATTCACTCACAGGTGAACAAATTCTTACTCCCATAGCTACTTTCCATAGTTCACAGAAGCAGATCAAAATTTTAGACAAACTTCCACAAATGCAGAAGGCTGAGATGATAAAACAGCTGGAACGGTTTTGTAATATATTTTTTGATGTTCTAGGTAGATGCGCTCAATGAAACATCACCATGGTTAAATACCAACAAATCAGTCAAAGTAAAACGGTATCTAGTACCTGAACACTATCGAGAGGAATTATTAAATGAAATTAATATGCTAGACCAATCTGGCATCAATATCAGATCAGTATATGTCTTTCGAAATAAATAATGCCCCTGCCCCTTTTATTCGGTTAAAGCAAGATTGCTTTTAAACGACATTTCCGGTGTTGCTATGTGTATTGATGCATTTTTAGCAATAATTGTTTTACATGTAATCTCATTCAGATAGGTATTCAAAAGAATCAAACAATTTGGATTCACAAGATTGTTAAAACAAGGCTCTGCTTTTCCGATAGAGTTGAACCCAGAACTTGACCAGGTCTTCGCTTGGATCAAGGTCCTTTTCTCCAGCCCCTTCATTCTGAAACTGTCTTTCAACCTGAGGTTTGATGCCAGCGGTATGGCAGTTGCAGACTGTTTAATGCAGTTAGAAGGAGACAAGCTGCATCCGATCTGCTACATTAGCAGGAAACTGACTCCTACTGAAGAAAGGTACGCTATAGCCGAACAAGAAGTCTCGCCGTCATTGTTTGTGTGTCTGTCTAGGCAAAAGCGGTTTCAACTTGGCAGATTGTTCCTATTGCAGATTGACAACCTGCGTTTCTTGATAATAAAGTCAGATATTCCAAAAAACAGTCGGATAGCCGGGTAGACATTGCTCTTGCATAATTTTAGCTTCGAAATCAGCCACACAAAAGCTCAGCTAACAATAAAGCCGACCAGCTAAGCTGATTGCGATCTGAAAACATCGACCGACTAATGACATCGTCATTTATACTTTGTGATTGATGCTGCATATTCATGACATTGCTAAACAGACTCCAGAATACATCAAGAGAAAAGTCAGATTCCAGTGGCATCAAACCAGTATGAACATTACCTAACCTGTGTGATTGGTAATCACAGTGTACCACCAAGACATTGAGAAACCAAGTTCTATTGGTATTAAATACAGTGTAACACTATAGACAGTAAAATCAAGTCCGAATATCGTGTTCAAAAGTGCACCTTTCTTACAGAGAACAATCCGAGAAACTATTAAAGAATTTGATAAACGAACACTCCAGATAATCCAAATTTTGAACAATGTGAAAGTACTGTGAATCAAGAAATTTTCCACTCAACAAAGAACTCAAAGGACGTCAACTACAGTAATATTATTGATGTATGAGAGGAAAGTAAAAGTGTAATAAAATAGGAATAAATAGATGATTGAGCGAATTATTATCTTAACACACACACACACACACACACACACACACACAAACACACATACATATATATATATATATATTATATATATATATATATATATATATGAACATACTTAAATTCTGTTGGATTTGGGATTATGGGTCTATGTTATATATGCTATCTATGTTATAATGAAGTATGTGTTATATTTATACTTTACTTATTTACATATGTATGCTTCATTTATTTGATTGTTCTACATATTTATTGGTAGAGTTCTTTCGAAGTTAATTGACTAACGCATTATTTTTTTATTTTGCTCTGTGTATTTTGATGAGCAACACAATAATGAGTACAACATGTTGTGGTTTGGCGGTCAGCCACATAAGTTTTAATCGATGACACCGCAACAAACAACCTGTTGGAAGTTTTCAAGTGTTTCTTAAACGTAAACGCACAAATTAAAGTTCAAGGTTATAGTTACGTAGTTTCTGGTAATTTTTTTAAGTTGACACTAATTTACTTTGTGTTTATACTAGTTTATAAAAATTTTTGTTTCGTCGCACTTTTTTTTTTCTATTTTGTTATAAAAATGTATAAAAGTAATAAGTGATAGCAAAAGTAACGTAACAGTAGGGGGACATTTTGCTTCAGGTAAGAGTCTCAAATGAAGAATATTGAGACAGATGGTAAAGTCTTTCATTGAAGAAAAATGCACGCAAAAGATGGCAATATCTTTGGGATAGGAATGTGTCTCGCAGGCAAAACATGTGATACTGTTTGTTCTGTCCTGTTGATCAGAAGGTGTGACTAGTATCTAGGCAGCAATGCGGGTGTATAGACACGTCGGGAGTGATTGTACGAGTTGACTGCTAACGAAGCCACGAGGCAATTGGACTGAGCGATTGACCTGCAAAGAACTATAAAACCAACGAGTTTTGACTTTAACGATGATTTCTATACCTAGACGTTGGGACTGTTTGACTAGTCTTAGCTTTAGAATCATAGTGTGTTTTGATTTAGCATAACGACTGATAGTGGGTATAATAATGTGTCTAGCCGGACAGTAGTATTATTACAGTGCTGTTCGACAGAGATAGGATTTCGGGCAGTGGGTAGATCGCTAGGTATTGGAGCTATTCTGTTAGCGCGGTTAGTTTAGTAGTTGGCGACTTGATCTGTCCTCGCATATCAGCACGCACTTTACAGACAGGCCATGGTCCTGGTGTGGAGTCCTTACACATCAGCACGCACTCTACAGACAGGCCATGGTCCAGGTGTGGAGTCCTCACATATCAGCACGCACTCTAAAGACTGGCCATGGTCCAGGTGTGGAGTCCTTACACATAGGCACGCACTCTAAAGACTGGCCATGGTCCAGGTGTGGAGTCCTCACATATCAGCACGCACTCTAAAGACTGGCCATGGTCCAGGTGTGGAGTCCTTACACATAGGCACGCACTCTAAAGACTGGCCATGGTCCAGGTGTGGAGTCCTTACACATAGGCACGCACTCTACAGACAGGCCATGGTCCTGGTGTGGAGTCTAGTGGCAGAGACAAGAGCTGGAATTGGAAACAAGGGTGGGTTCAGCCCAGGTATTATTTGTAGAACAAGAGGGTCCGGGAGTAAGTGCCGATTTTAAAGTCCTCACGGTCGCCTTGAGGATAGTGGGAGACTATCGTTTCTGTGGTTAACTACCTGCTGTTTATTGTTCCTTACGATAAAGATTGATGTGTGTGCTCTGTGAGTGTTTGGCTTGGTGATAGAGTGTCTGTCAGTAGTCTACAAACGAGCCGCATGCCTACACGACAGGAATAAAGTTACTGACACTTATACTACTTAGGCCGTCAGGTTTTTTCATTTTTTAAACTTGGGTTTTGTTAAAGATTTAGGTGCGAGATGTCAAAGTATGTCTCTGACACGGTCACATGACATGGGAGACGCATAAACAGCTATCCTTAGCTCTAGTGTTGTACCTGTGTTACGGGCTGCCCTCCGGTCATCAACGTCTTCAGTTTGTAGTCTGAGCCACCGATACTGTCCAGGTACTTCACCACGCTCTCTACGTCGATTTGCCGACAGTTCGCTGATGTACACTTTTCTTTACAAATAGCCATCCATATGTCCTCGCCTGTCTTCCTCCCGTGTCGGTTGTACCAGTCCTGCATAACTCTCTTCTCTCCTATGCAGTAGGCCCTAAACGGGTGGCCACCCACCCAGCCTGGCAGGAATAAAAGAAATCAAAATCAGATGCCGTTTTCATATCAAAGGTTGGCTGCAGTCTGTCTACAACACTTTCTTTCGTTCCCAATACTTCATACCAGACTGTGCTTCAACAGCTGTTTCGATCTCCTCACTGTTATGGGTGACTATGACTGGCACTACTGTGACCTTTAATGGTTGCGATACCAAAAACAAAAACAAAAAAACTATTTCACTTTATCATTTTCAAAAAAGAATCGTTGTACAACCCGCGGCTTTCTCTATTTCTTCAAAGTCTCTGTATTGTGTTGTTTCCTGTCCCCAATACAACATTGTAATCTGTGTAGCGACACATCTATGTCCCCAATACAACATTGTATTATGTGTAGCGACATATCTATGTCCCCAATACAACATTGTTTTCTGTGTAGCGACATATCTATGTCACCATTACAACATTGTTTTCTGTGTAGCGACATATCTATGTCACCAATACAACATTGTATTCTGTGTAGCGACATATTAAGGTCACCAATACAACATTGTTTTCTTAGCGACATATCTATGTCCCCAATACAACATTGTATTCTGTGTAGCGACATATCTATGTCCCTAATACAACATTGAATTCTGTGTAGCGACATATCTATGTCCCTAATAAAACATTGTATTCTGTGTAGCGACATATCTATGTCACCAATACAACATTGTATTCTGTGTAGCGACATATCTATGTCCCTAATACAACATTGTATTCTGTGTAGCGACATATCTATGTCACCAATACAACAATGTATTCTGTGTAGCGACATATCTATGTCCCCAATACAACATTGTATTCTGTGTAGCGACATATTAATGTCACCAATACAACATCGTTTTCTGTGTAGCGACATATCTATGTCACCAATACAACATTGTTTTCTGTGTAGCGACATATCTATGTCACCAATACAACATTGTTTTCTTAGCGACATATCTATGTCCCCAATACAACATTGTATTCTGTGTAGCGACATATCTATGTCCCCAATACAACATTGTATTCTGTGTAGCGACATATTAATGTCACCAATACAACATTGTTTTCTGTGTAGCGACATATCTATGTCCCCAATACAACATTGTTTTCTGTGTAGCGACATATCTACAACATTGTCCCCAATCTACCCCAATACACATTGTATTTCTGTGTAGCGACATATCTATGTCCCCAATACAACATTGTATTCTGTGTAGCGACATATCTATGTCCCCAATACAACATTGTTTTCTGTGTAGCGACATATCTATGTAGCGACATATCTATGTCCCCAATACAACATTGTATTCTGTGTAGCGACATATCTATGTCCCCAATACAACATTGTTTTCTGTGTAGCGACATATCTATGTCCCTAATACAACATTGTATTCTGTGTAGCGACATATCTATGTCCCTAATACAACATTGTATTCTGTGTAGCGACATATCTATGTCCCCAATACAACATTGTATTCTGTGTAGCGACATATCTATGTCCCTAATACAATATTGTATTCTGTGTAACGACATATCTATGTCACCAATACAACAATGTATTCTGTGTAGCGACATATCTATGTCCCTAATACAACATTGTATTCTGTGTAGCGACATATCTATGTCCCTAATAAAACATAGAATTCTGTGTAGCCACATATCTATGGCCCCAATACAACATTGTATTCTGTGTAGCGACATATCTATGACACCAATACAACAATGTATTCTGTGTAGCGACATATCTATGTCCCTAATACAACATTGTATTCTGTGTAGCGACATATCTATGTTCCTAATACAACATTGTATTCTGTGTAGCGACATATCTATGTCACCAATACAACATTGTATTCTTTGTAGCGACATATCTATGTCCCTAATACAACATTGAATTCTGTGTAGCCACATATCTATGGCCCCAATACAACAATGTATTCTGTGTAGCGACATATCTATGGCCCCAATACAACATTGTATTCTGTGTAGCGACATATCTATGTCCCTAATAAAACATTGAATTCTGTGTAGCCACATATCTATGGCCCCAATACAACTTTGTATTCTGTGTAGCGACATATCTATGGCCCCAATACAACATTGAATTCTGTGTAGCGACATATCTATGTCCCTAATACAACATTGAATTCTGTGTAGCGACATATCTATGGTCCCAATACAACATTGTATTCTGTGTAGCGACATATATATGTCCCTAATAAAACATTGAATTCTGTGTGGCCACATATCTATGGCCCCAATACAACATTCTCACAACATTCTTCGGTAGTTTTAGGATTCATAAAATGTGCATCTGCGATGCGTTAGTACGCGTATATTACCAATTGATGTATGTTTTAAAACTATTTGAGTAAGTCAGTTGGTGTGTTTATGGCATTCACTTGGTGGATTCCGGCTCCTCGTTTTGGGGAAAGGGAGGGAAGGATTGCAGGGGGGTGGGGGGGGGGGTAGATCCGCAGCCTCACACTCTAACAACCATGTGCAAACGTCGACTAATCAGCAGCTTTTCCTTCGGAGTCAGAGTGCATTACCCTTTGGAAGCGTGACTGCATTCAAATTGGCAAGATATGTCAAAGACATTCACAGGTACAACTCAAGTTCTGGAATACGAAGTGGAGGAACAACGAAAATTTTCCTCTGGAATTTCTGGTCAAGGAAAGCAAAGAACTAGAAGAAATCACGTGACGACGTAAAATCCAACTAAACTCCAAAAATCATTCAAAAGAAACAAAAATTGTCATTAGAAAATGTCAAACAGAGAAAAAGAAGACACTGCTGTGGATGATTTAGCGTAAAAGCTGTGTCAACCATCACCACTTGGTCCGGAAAACTATTTCTAACATGACATTGGTCAAGCAGAACAGACAATGCGAAAGAAGACAAAAAAAGAATGATGAGAAGGTTCAATAGAAAGAGGAGGATGAGATAGAAGAAACAAAAAAGAAAAAAAAGAAGAAGAAGAAGAAGAAGAAGAAGAAGAAGAAGAAGAAGAAGAAGAAGAAGAAGAAGAAGAAGAAGAAGAAGAAGAAGAAGAAGAAGAAGAAGAAAAAGAACAAGAACAAGAACAAGAACAAGAACAAGAAGAACAAGAAGAAGAAAAAAGAAGAAGAAGAAAAATAAGAACAACAACAAGAACAAGAAGAAGAAAAAGAAGAAGAAGGAAAATAAACAATAATTGATAATAATACTCAGTGAAGAGTTGGGTACTGAACTCCTATCAGAGACTTACCCAGGCTACGATCACAATATAGAACACTGGGGACTTCTATCTGCAAACTGAGGGCCAGTTCAACAATCTCGGCTTGCGTTCGAGGCACCAGCTTGCAGTAGCCAGTGCTGCCAGATGTAGTAAACACATAGAGAATATCTTGGGAGCTCACTGTAGGATCAATGAAGATGTCGTCAGTGCTGTTCTCTAGTTTTTCCAGAAATGGCCTCTGAACCCTGGTAAAGAAATTTAAATCATTCGGTTTGAAGAGTTAGTAAAGACAAACATTAGTTGTGTAGGGTTTATGTTATCAATGTACCTCTGGCATACCATTCTTGCCTATTGGTTTACTGCAGCAGAAACACACACAGTCATACCGACACAGCGGTTTTCTTCTTCTTAACTCATCATCATCATATTTCTATTATACAGTATATCTTTGAGTCACCATCATATTCTATTGGTTGTCTGATCCCACCCACCCCCCCCCCCCACCTCAGCCGTTCAGATAAAATGTTTGATTTTTACATGTCTGAGTCTTTTCAGTCAGCCAAGTATTTCTAGACTATCACCCTGAACACACATTGGAGTGGTCGACTGTGTGTGATATCACGTCTCTAGCTTAAGATTTAACACAATTCTAAAACCGTAGTATCCTGTACCCGCGACATAGTAATACAAACGGTGAGGGACAACGAAAACGAGGTTTTGGTTCAGAAAGCAGCCCAGCAGTCGCAGCAGGGCCATTGGGTCAGCCTGGAGAGCGCATTGCCAAGAATACTCACATAGGGTGAGATCTGGCGGATGCACCCGCTGCGACTGAGCTTTATCGTTCGTGCGGCGTACGATGTATTACCGTCCGGTGTTAATATGGTTAAATGGTCTGCGACTAACGATCCGACTTGCCCGTTGTGTAAATCGAAGCAGATTCTAGAACACGTCCTGTCCGCGTGCAGGAAAGCCCTAGGTCAAGGCCGATATACCTGGCGACACAACAAGGTGCTAAAAGAGTTAGCAGCTGTTGTTGACCAGGCTAGAATGAGGGCCAACGCAAGGGCCAGTTCTAGCATCGTCCCCATTCGTTTCCTCAAGGCGTGGCAGGTTCAAAAAGGTAAGGTCAACCGAAACGCATTCGCTCCATCTGTGCTAGACTCTGCGAGGGACTGGTTACTGGCGGTTGATCTGCCAGGCCATGAACGGTACCCCGAGTTAATCCGTAAGACCGGTCTGCGACCTGACATAGTCCTCCACTCTGCGGAGAAACGGCAGCTCATCCTGATAGAGTTGACCGTCCCGTATGAGTCGCGTATGGATGAAAATCACTTGTATAGGCTCGAGAAATACAGTGATTTAGCAGCCGGTCTGAGGAGAAACGAGTCGTACACGGTACGGGTATTTGCCGTCGAAGTGGGAGCGAGAGGCCTCGTTTCCACTTCGCTCTACAATGTGGTTAAAGAACTAGGATTGCGCGGTAATGAACGGAAACGAACTGTCGCGCGCCCACGTGGCTAAGTACACTGATATAGTGAGGGTGTGGGTTTGAACCTTAACAGTGCCCACCCACGTGAGAAACTGGACTATTATCTAAGCTATGTTGATCCTAGACAGTTCTGGATAGCCAAGAAAACAGCGAGTGGCTTGTTCCATGAAATGAAAGTTGCTGTACTTGTATCCACAGGAGTAGGAGAAGGGATAGATAGAGATCAAGATAAACC